AGCTGGGTTTAGTTATCGTCTCGGACGAGGTGAAGTCCCTGCTGCCGTGTCCTCCCCGCGTGACTGCAAGGCCCTCGAAGGCATGAGGTTGCTCCACTGAGTCACCTCATGGGCCTCTGTCCCCCTCCTGGGATAGTCCTGACTGTAGCCTGGGTCGCCGAGCATCGTCTGCAGTCCGACAGGTGTGCAAGGTGCAAAGGGAGCGAGGGTCGATGGTGACAGGTCCGGCGTGTCCTTTGGGCAGACTGGAGAAAGAGACCCCTCCTGCCGCGTTCAGTCCCACTCCAGGGACCGAGACTCATGGCACGTGGACCTCCTCTGTCCAGCGTTGGGTGTCGTGTGTCGGGCCGTCCCCACAGCCTAGAGTGGGACTCTGTCCCTCACCAGTGCAGTGACGAGGAGGGGGCAGAACGTTGGAGGCACCCTGGTCACCCGGGGGTGGAGCCCTGCCCCCACGCACAGGGTGCTCACGGGCCTGGGACTGAAGGGGCTCAGTTCTGGGGCTCAGTTCTGCTGAGAGATGGATTCCCAAGAGCTGGAAAGGATGGCAGAGTTACCCCAGGAGTGGGAGAGGCAGGTTCCATCACAGAAGAGAGGGGGTCCCAGCATCTTCCCAAGAAGTCTGTTTCCGTCTTCCTCGGCTTCCATCGGCCCTTGCTGAACTTGACAAGGGAACAGAAGTTTAGTCTCCTGAGTCTCTAAGCTCCCTTGAGAACCTCACCCAGCCCCAGGCAAGCACCCCCAGGCTCTAGGTGGGTGCTCAGGGCTCCCGGTGGGTCCGAGAAGTGTCCTCACCGTGACCACCAGGGGGCAGCCACAGCCAGAATTCCTGCCTCCACCCAGGGAGAGCTGCAGCCGCTGCCCAGCTGGCCCCTGGCTCTGCTGTCCTGGAGCAGACAGACAGACAGACAGACAGACAGACAGACGCCGCAGTGCACCGGAGGGGCCAGTTTGCCAAACCTCCGACTGCTTTCTGTGCGTAGATTTGTTCCGTGTCCCCAGTGCGTCGGCCACGTGCAGTGTTTACCACTCCTTACCGACCCAGCCGCAGCTCTCTGTCCGTTTCCTCTGCCCTGGGGCCTCGTAACCTTCGGTTCCCCCGAGTCTGACTTACTGTGTGCGTCTCACGGGTGCCTGTGGCGGTCACGTACGGATGCGGATGTAAGACGGGCGCACGGGGGGAGCCCACAGCCGCGCCGGGAGGCACAGACCCGAAGTCTGCGGCCGTCTTCTCTGCCGTCCGCCCATGTGACTCCTGTCGTGGCCGCTGTCACATCACGACAGCGTCCGAGGGGCGGATGGGGTTCGGAGCCAGGGGAGGCAGCATTTCAGACCATGTCCTTCCGGCCCAGCCACCCTCCTTTTCCTCTGCCCGGCTGCAGTGTGCCAGGCGACCTTCTGTCTCTGAGCAGACCTCGGGGTACACAGTGCCCGTGTTGAGAATAACGTGTCTGATGCCACTAAGTGATTCCCTGTACAGAATTATCAAGTTGAGTTAGTGTAAAACTAACTCTTTACACAAAAGAGTAAAACCAGCAGACTCACGGGCCCTGCCCCCACAGTGTCCCTGTGGCCACAGCGATGGCCTGTCACCTCTGCGGACAGCCCTGTCCTCCTTCCCCACCTCGCCAGCCTCCAGGAGCCCTGGGCCTGTTAACAGGGGAAGGACAAGAGCCAGCGGTCAGGGAAGCTCCTGCTGACTTCCAATTGGTCCCTCAAGCGAGTAATGACCTTGGGTGTGTCCTGGAACCTCCCTGGCCCTCAGTTTTCTCAGCAGTTACGTGCCAGGCCATGGTTGGGGCTAGTTCTTCCAGGACGACGGTCCAGGGAATTGCGTCTCTCTTCCGGAGAAGTCCCAAGGCCAGGCCAGGCGGCTGCGGGACAGGTGAGGTGACGGATGGCCACCCTCCCCGGTCCCCGGTCCCAAGTCAGCCCTCAGTCAGCAGGTGCCCAGAAGCCCCCTTCGTGTGCACACAGCGGGCCCGGCAGCGTGAGAGGGAGCATCAGGTCAGCGTGATGACCTTGTCGTGCCGGGGAGGGCAAACTGATGCAGCCTCTCATCGGGGGGCTGGGACCTGTGGGTCCCCTGGCCAGGACCACGTTGGGGACAGCACTGCCAGAGATCCCGCCTGCTGCCACCAAGGCCGGGCAGCCTTCGGACGCAGGTCCCCTCTCAGACTCTGCTTTCTGCCAACTGTGGCCTGGGGCTGGCTGGGCCATTCTTTCTCTCTAAAACAGATGGTCTTGGGGCAGAATTACGCTGAAGGTCATGTTTTGTCCAGTCCACACAATTATAAAAAATTGAGTAAGTTGCCAATAATTAAAAATTGGGAGATTTCAAATAAACACCCCGATTTCCAGTTTCCTTTAAAAGCCCACATGGTCCTCAGGGTGGGGGCAGGGCGCCTCCCTAGAGGGGGCTCTGCTCCACCTGCGCCCGGGGTCCACGCCCTGGTCCTCTCCGTGGGACCTGCGGGGCCTGGAGTGTGTCCCCTGGAGTGTGTCCCCTGGCGATCTGACGTCCTTATTCCTGAGCCCAGGGCTGCTCATCAGAGCCCCCAAGAACCCACCTCACTTTCTAAAAGTCCCACACACACCGCAGGTCGCGATCAAAGGCTTTCCTGCTTTAAAGATCCCGTTAGCGCCTCCAGAGGCGCGGGGCCCCCACTGCTGTGCGCGGGTGGGTGCGCGGGTGGGTATACAGGTGGGTGCGCGAGTGGGTGCGCGGGTGGGTGCGCGGGTGGGTGCATATACAGGTGGGTGCGCGGGTGGGCGCGCGGGTGGGCGCGCGGGTGGGCGCGCGGGTGGGCGCGCGGGTGGGTATACAGGTGGGTGCGCGGGTGGGCGCGCGGGTGGGCGCGCGGGTGGGTATACAGGTGGGTGCGCGGGTGGGTGCGCGGGTGGGTGCGCAGGTGGGTATACAGGTGGATGCGCGGGTGGGTGAACAGATGGGTGCGCGGGTGGGTGCACAGTGCACGCCCCGGCTCTGCTGCCAGGCGCCCGAGCAGCTCCCAGCACAGCGAGCAGCCTGCAGTGTGCGCGGCCAGATGTGTGACTACATTAAAGAGCCTGAAAACAGGGCCCCGGAGGTTTGGGGGCGGGGGAGCAAGCCGAGCGGCCGGTCCCTCGAGGACAGGGACAGAGCAGGGCCTCTCCCTCCGCCCGAGAAGGAGTCCCGGCAGGAAGTGAGCTGGTGACAAGGGGCCAGGTCTGTGCCCGGACATCAAGGCCAGCATGACACCGCGGGCAGGTGCTGGGGGTCCTCCCACACCCGGCTCGCAGCCCTTCCTCCGGTGTGGGCAGGTGTCTCTCTGAAGCCGGAGCCGCTCGGGGCTCCGAGGTGCCAGCCGTCAAGCGGGCTTCCAGGGGCCCACGAACCCCCAAGACGGTGGGTAAGATGTTGTACCTGTGAGTATTGGGGGAGTGTAAGGAGGATCATTAGCTTTCAGGAGATGTTCTTCAAAGGACTCTGACCCCAAGAACCACCCATCGGGAGGACTCTAGGACCCAGGGCAGGTCCGCCCAGAACAGTCTGCTGGCTGGTGCAGAAGCCAGGGTCGGAGCTGGCTGGACGGACGTGGGCACCTGGGGGTGGCCAGGGGTGCTACGTGTTGCTTTATGTAGCCCTGTGCAGGCTGGGGACAGCTCTGCTTTGCTACACCGATCCACCCTCCCCAGGAAGGCCGGAAGGCGAGGCTGCGGGTGTCGCTGAGCAGGAGGAGGCGGCGGGGACCCAGGCCGGGGAGCTGGGCACTCTCAGGCCGGGCCTGCCAGCGAGGCTCCCTTCTGCTGCGGGGCAGCCCTCCTGGTCCTTGCTCCCCACCCGGTCCCGTTCCCGCCTCTCATCTGCGAGGGGAGGGGATCGTTGTCCGCTGGGGGAGGAGGGCAGAGGGGGAAGCTGTCCCAGGACAGGGGGCCAGAGGCGCTGTGGGAGCCTCCCGGGGCCGCCGCAGAATCCGAGGACGTGGCCTTCAACCGCGGGCACAGGTCCCCCAGCTCCGCAGGCCGGAGGTCTGAAGCCAGGGTGTCAGGGCCGCTCCCTGTGACCCACAGGGCAGGTCCCTCCTCGCCTCTCCCGGCTCCCGCTGGCGGCCCCTCACTCCAGTCTCGGCCTCTGTGGTCACGTGGGGTTCTCGCCGAGTGTCTGTGTCCAGATCTGCCCCTTCTTCAAAGGACATCGGTCATATTGGGTTGGAGCCTGCCCCAATGACCTGATGACATCTGCAAAGACCCCATTTCCAAATCAGGCCACGTCCGCAGGTACCAGGGCCTGGAACGCGTCTTTCAGGAGAACCCAGTTCAGCCACAGTGGGCACATGACCTCCAGTGGCCCGGCCACCTCAGTCCTGTGTGTTGCCACTCACCCTCCTCCCCCGCCCCCCCAGGCTCTTGGGGGGGGGCTGCCTCTCGCCGTGACAACTGAGCACCTTCTCCTTGTACACGTTCTGAGGTGGGCATTTTCCTCCTGCATCTCATCCCATAAGTAGGTGTCTCAGCTAGAATGTTGATCTGCTGCTTTAACACGAACCAAGATGACAGTGTCTTAAGGAAGGCTGGAATCAGTTTCTTTTTCCGATCAATTCTGAGCGGGTGGGTGTCCGGGAAGGCTGGGAGGCCCTGCCCTATGGCATCGCCCAGGGACCCGGACTGCCATCTGTGAACGTACGGTCCATTTCCAGAGTCGGCGCTGGCTCAGCACCGCATCGGGTCCCAGCCGCTGGGGCGTGGGGAAGAGGCACTGGACTCCACCTGCCCCCACTACTCCCACTTCTACTGGCCAGAACCTCATCACATGCTCTGGCTAGCTGCAAGGGAGCCTGGGAAACACGGCTCTTACCTCAGAAGCCACAGTCTCAGGGAACAGATGCTGGGGACAGCTGGCCGTGTGTGGCAGAAGGAACAGTGTTATCAATTCACCCTCATCCCTGCAGCAGTACCGAGCGTAGGACTGGAAACGCCAGACTGTCCCACAGACGCTGCCCCGTGTGACCAGGACAGGGTCAGGGCGAGGGCTTCGTCTCGGGGAGGTGCGCGTGGGGCCGCTCCACAGCCAGCTGGTTCTCAATGACGCAGCACGCCCTGCAGCTCTCCAGGACGCGGGCGCGCACGTACGCCTTGTCCTTCTCCTGCCAGGTGTCCGACTCGATGTACACGTTGAAAGGGTCGTGGGAGTGCTCCAGCTTCTTGGAGCGGATGTAGCTCAGCATGATGCCCAGGGTGAAGAAGCCGAAGAAGCCCAGCACCATGAGGATGTAGAGCGCCTCCATCTCGCCGTGGCTGTCGCCGGGGGACCTGCGGGCCAGGCCGGACGTGTTGCCGCCCTGCTGAGCTGTCGCCTGCCACAGCCTAGTCAGGAAGGGTGTCACAGCGGTGGCGTTGGACGGGACCATCTTGCCCGCCGAGGTTCGAGCCTCGGGGCAAACCGTCTGGAAGGAAAGGGCAACATGAAATCCGAGACCACACGTCACACGCCACACGTCACACACTCCCCAGCCGTGCCTTGTGCCACCCTGGGTCTCTCTCGATTGACCAGTAGATTCCCTCTTATTTCCACTCACCGGCCCCACCGCCCTCCAGGGGCGACCACCGTAATGAGCTTCTTCAACACACATCGCAACGTCCGTGTGCATTTCAGTCCACGGCTAAGGACCAGATCGTGTCCCTCCCCCCACTCATAGGAAGCCCCCCCCAAGAAGTGACTGAACCCGGAGACAGGGTCTTCAGGAGACAATCGAGGTTCAGCGAGTCCTGGCCAATTTGGCTCAGCGGTTAGAGCGTCGGCCTGCGGACCAATGAGTCTCGGGTTCGATTCCGGTCAAGGGCAACTCAGTTGCAGTTTGTCCCTGTCCCTGGTCGGGGTTGTGCAGGAAGCAACTAGCCGATGTGTCCCTCTCACATCGATGTTTCTCTCTCTCCCTCTCTCTCTCCTACACTATCAAGATAAATAGAAAAATATTCTTGGGTGAAGATTAACAAAATAAAAATAGTGAAGAAGGTTCGGTGAGGTCTGAGGGCAGAGCCCAGTTCACCAGGACGTCCTTCTGGGAAGAGGAGGAGGTCTGTCTCCCTGCCGGGTGCAGACACCGTGAGATGGTGCCGCCCGCAGGCAGGTGGACAGCTGTCACCGAGACAAACCCTGCGGGGACCCCAGCTTGACTTCCCAGCATCCCTCACTGAGAACAGAAGTGGGGTGTTGCAGGCCCAGCCTCGTGTTCGAACGGTGGTCTGAGCAGACACTATGGGGTGGTGGCGGGTGACGACTCCCCTCCCCTCTCCTGCTCAGCACGGTGGCTTCCGGCCCACTCGAGTCCCACCTGCACCCCCTCCCGTCCACAGTGCACAGCACTTGCGCGTGTGCCCACTGCTCCCCGTGCCCATCCCCAGAGCAGGCGCTGCCGTGCCACCGACTCCACAGAGGGTGACGGACGGCCTCCTGGGGCCTGGGAGCCCTCCCGCTTCTGCGGCTGCTGCCGGTGGTTCGTACAACTGGCCAGACCGAGTGTGCAGGACCTGGGAGGGGGTGCCAGGGACAGCCACTTGAGTGGAAAACCCGCCCTCTCCCCGGGCAGCCTGGGGCATGGTCCTGTGAGTTCACGGAGAGCCCCCAAGGGGCCGGTATACCAGCTCGTGCTGTTTGCCCCTCTGCCCACGGAACGGCTGCCCGAGCCACGTGAAAGGTGACAGTCCCCACCACTTTCATCTGATGTCACTGTCCCCGAGTACCCGCCCCACCGGCCCTGGCTCTGTAGGAGACTCTCCAGGAACCGAAGCCCTCGCCAAGGTGGCCTTGTGGTCACTGATGAGCTAAGACAGGTTTTCTCCTTTTGTCTGTGAAAATGCTGGTCTCTGCCCCCAGGGCCTCCCGGGAAACAAAAGCCCAGGGCCACGTGGGTGAGCCAGCACTGCCAACTCAACCCAGAGGGCACCGGGAGCTGGGCAGACTAAGTGGTCTTCCTTCCTTCGCAGGGCTCACAGCCCTCGAGTGGACACCGTGGGCGGCTGTGGGGAGAAGGGCAGAGGCCTTCAGGAGCAGCGTGTCTGGCTGTGGGGAGACCCCCACGCAAGTGGGGGGCGGCGCTCAGGCCTTCCCGGCTCAGTTGAGGCTGTGATGTCACCTGTCATCCTGCCTAACACAAATGTCCACCTCAAACCCCCAAACTGGACCCAGAGCTACTTCTTTGTAGAACTGGCTTAATTTCCGAAGGTTTACCGACCACGGGGGAGGTGAAGAGGCGGGGCCCCTCCTTGCGTCCTCCCCCGTCCCGGGGGTGTGGCTGCACCCCAAGGCATCCTCGCCCCCCCCCCGATCCTGGTCACTGCCCCTGCTCTTCCAAGCTCGCCCCGCGGCCATGACCAGGCACCCTCGAGCCCAGAGCAGTGCGTCCGGTGACCTTCCACGGACCCCTCCACCTTCGCCATCCCCCCACTTCACACCCGGCACCCACCCCTCCTGGGAGGAAGAGCCTGCTCCACACCTCAGGGAGCTGCGGGCACCCTTCGGAGAAGCGCCCCGTTTCCCCTGGCTGCCAGCCCTGAGTGGGAGGGGCCTGCGCCCTCTCCTGCTCCTCTGTCCGGCTTGGCTGGGACCCTGGCCCCGCTGGCCCTTCCGGACCTGCCCGCGGCTCGTCTCTGCTCCTCGCCCTTGGCCTCCTGGGTGGGACCTGGTCCTGCTTGGAGGTGCAGTCCTCTCCTCCTCCGACAGCCTCTCTGATGCCTGGGGCGGGGTGATCGCCACCCACACCGGCCCCTGGAAGGCTGCTGCGCTTCGGCAAGGTCACCACCTCTGCCCCTGTCCTGTCCCCCATGGCCTCCCGGGCGCACAGCGACATGGAGCTGTCTGAGGCCGCCTCTGCCGTGCGGGGCTGCTGCTCCTGGCCGCCTGTCCCCTGCACAGACCCATGCGCTGGCTCTGGGCTGAGCGAGATCCCTTGTCAGGAGGGGCCCCTGTCCTCCTGCAGCCACAGGCCGGGTCTGTGAGGGGAGGGCAGAGGCGCTCAGTGTCGGAACATCGTCTCCTGGCAGCCGGGCCTCGCAGCCCAGGTCAGGCTCCTTGGGCCAGCTCGTCCTGCCTTTTTCCCTGCGGAAGACGGGGAGACGGGTCACTGACGTTGGGGCGGTGGGTCCCGGACCAGGGCGAGTGGCCGACCGCGTGTGGCACTCGGCGGTGCACACTTAGTGCTCCAAGTGTGAGTGCACTGGCTTTTCCAACTTGTTAGGGAACAGCCCAGGGACTGGGGGGCTGGGGGGTTGGGGCTCGACTCTCTCCCCCTTGTGGAGAAGCGGTCAAAACAAGAGACATGTGCTTGTGCCTTTCCTGACACCAGTGGGTTTGAGTCTGTGCCCGGAGACCTGCCCGGGGCTAAGCTGCAAAGCCAGCACCCGGCCCCGTTCCAGCCAGGCGGTGGGCAGGAGTCACCGGGTGACCATATTTTTCTTAAAACCTTAGACCCAGGGCTGCTGGAAACACGTGATAGGAGGCTCCGGGCAGCTGAGTCATCCGAACACGACGTCCGGCATTTTCTTGTGAAATGATTGGCAACCACTTGTGCACAGAACGCAGCGCAGAAGACTGACGGGCCTTGAGCTGATCATAGAGTTTTTTCCAAAAACCCAGAGTGGCCACCATTGGGTTAGAGCATTCTTATCACCACATCCCCACGCGAGACGAGGACTGAGACGGGCCGTCGCCAAGGGGGTGGGTTTAGAACAAATCCACAGGCATTTCTGCAATTGGTTCATTCTGGTGAGTTCGCCGAGACCGGTCACTTAAACCAGACGGACTCTCCTAGGGCGGAGGAAGCAATCAGAACCTGGGCCTTGAAAACCTGCCAGGTCCAACGCTCCGGGCCCTGTTCTCGGGTGCTGTGCTCAGCCCTGGGCCCACTCGAATCACCTCGTCAGTGCAGGCTGCGGCTCCGGCCCTGGGGTTTCGGACCCAGAGGCTCCCAGGCCGCGAACGTGCACTTCTAACAAGTTCCCGGGGCTATCCCGGTGACTGACTTATTAGAATCACCTGGGGAGCTTTATTTATTTTCTTTTTCTTTTTTTTTTAAATCCTCACCCAAGGACATTTTTCTATTTATCTTCAGATAGAGAGGGAGGGAGGGAGGGAGGGAGGGAGGAACATTGATGTGAGAGAGACACATCAACTGGCTGCCTCCCACAGGACCCCAGCCAGGGCCACGGATGAACCACAACCCAGGTAGGTGCCCTTGACCAGAATCGAACCCGCGACTCTTTAGTCCTCAGGTTGACACGCTAACTGCTGAGCCAAACCAGCCAGGGCCCACCTGGGGAGCTTTACAATATACTGAGGCCTGGATCCCTCCTCCAAAGACTGTGCTGTCCTGGGTCAGGGGTCCCGCCGGGCACTGAGACTGAGAAGCTCCCCAGGGGACCCTAACTTGGACCAAGACTGAGAACCACGGGCTATGGTGGGGACCTCAGGAAATGGCCCAACCAGTCTTTGGAGCTGCAGGGTTCTGGGGGAAATGCTATAAGAAGGGAAACATGATTTCATAGCATACTTTTCCAGTCTCATTTGTTTTTCAGATTTTCTCCTTTGGGCTCACAGGACGCCGGTGTAATCTGAAGAGAAATTGCAGCCCCCGCCTCACTCACATCGGCGTCTCAGTTACGATGAGCCTGCCCGAGCTCCAGGCCGCCCCAGAAGCAGGTTAATCAACTGCCCTTCACACAACAGCTCCGAGATGCCAGAGGAAACGCTGTTTCTCACTGGACTCGTAATGTGGTGCATGGCTTTGCTAAATGCCCCGGGCGGCCCCCAGGCTTGCTGCTGGGTCACGTGTGTTTCTGTGTAATGGGCCTCAAAATGAGCTTGGCAATGTCCTCTAATAGGGTGGCTTTAATGACACAGATCCCAATCTGCATGTCAGCTGGGGGTGCACGTCCCAGTCCCCAAGTTCCCCTCCATTATGACGACAAAACACTGCCCAATGGCGGCCGCTTTCGACTTGGACTCAGATGACCCTGGACAGTAACTGATCTGACAAGCCCGGCTTGCGGGGAACGGCTCCGCAGAGGTGAGCAGACTCACCTAAGGTCATGTCTCTCATCAAACAAGCAGCTAAGATGTAAAGATTTAGTGCAGAAGAGGCGGTTCTCGGGTCTTTGCAGAGAGGAATGGATTCTTTACTTCGGCTCAAAGGGACCGAGGGACCGGCTGCTTGTCTTGAGTAAAACTGGGTCTACCCAAGTGGGGACTGGCTTCTGACCGAACTATGCCATCAGGGGCCCCTCGCTGCCAGAAGAAACCACAGGCTTCTGCACCTTGCACGTGAACAGAGGGCTGGGGGCAGGAGCAGCGGGAACCGGGGTTCCAACTGCAGACACGACCAGCACGATGCTCAGACTGCTGACGTTCTGAGAGCTGCCGGGACCTGGGGCACAGCCTGGTGCTGACCACTGCGAGGGGAGACCAGCGGAGGCTCAGCCTGGCTCTGAGGCCCGCCCACGCCCACGCAGGGGGCAGGGGGTGACGCCACCCGCTCCCGGCACGCACCGGCCTCTGCTTTCTCCCACACGTCCCAGCTCCGTGCCTATCAGCACCGATAGCAGCCTGGAGGCTTTCGGGACAGATTTCCCAGCAGGGCCACTTTCCATTCTTCCCTAAGCACTTACTGGACGGGGCGGGCTTCTGCGGCTGACTCCAAGCCTCGTTCCGAGAGGGCAGATCCTGGGGGTGAGCAGGGGAGGGAAGATGTCAGACCCGGAGCTCGGGGGTCTGAGGTCCAGCCTGGTGCGGTCCTGGATGAACCCTATGCCCCCTGGGCTTCAGCTCGTATCCAGGCAGAGTGAGAATAACTCTCCTCTCAGCCCTACCAGCTTTCCTTGGGCATTTTCTCGAAAGAGTGTCAGGTCTTGAACCCATCCACCATGAGGCCCGATCTGTCTCAGGAAGAGACCCCGGGCAGAAAAACTATGGATGAGCCTAGTTTCGGGGAACGTGACCTTACAGCATCCAGAATTCTGTGAGCCGGTTCTCCTTAGAAGCAGCTGTCAACAGTTCGCATCATCAACTCGACACTGTGCCCGAATTCTGGGGACACGTTTGCCTCCTTGTACAAAGGGAGCCAACGGGGGCCCCCAACCCTTCCAGGCAGTTGGCTGGCTGTGTCTTGGCCCTCCCACGTGACCGTCCTGGGAGGAAGCCCGGCACTGAGGTGCAGGGTCTGAAGGAATCTGGACGAAGCCTGCGCAGAGGCTCAGCACCCAGCTGTCCTCCCAGATCAGAGAAAATCCCTGCCACCTCCCTGCTGGGCATGGGGTGTGGCCCTTGAGTCCGGGTCACAGGACCAGAAGCTTCCCAGACCTCTCCGTGGGTGATGGAGGGGGCTGGTGGGAGAAGGATGGAAATGCAAACCAGCGAGCTGGTGGGAGGGACCTGGTCAACACAGGAAAAGGACGAGCACTTTGGGTGGGACTGGGGACAGTAAGACTCCCAGGTCTGCGGGCCGCTGGGGTCCCATCTCTGCAAATTAAATCGACCCAGAGCCTCTGCTTCTCTGAAAGCAGACTAATGGGCCCTGGCCGGACTCCACCGCAGGTTCTGGGAGGTGCGGGAAAAGCCCCAGTTTCCCGTCTCTCGTTTTCGCCACTTTTCTGTAAGAAAGGCGAGGCCACCGGATTTGCTTGTCAAAAGTCTGCTGGGCTCCCCAAAGCCTGCTCCTGTGCCAACCTGCGTGTGAGGCCCCACCCTGACGTCCCCGCCCTCTCTGACCCCTCACAGCACCTGCCCACCAGCTCATCGTCTACCTTGTAGCAGCTTGTTGACTGTCTGGGCACTTATTCCTGGAGCTCAGCAAGGTGCCGCCACACACCCGGCTCCCTGGCGCCCCAGCCGGTAAGTCGCAATATGGGTTTGCAGAATTCAATGAGAAGGCAAGTATTCCATTCGACACGACTGCAAAGTGCGGGCAAATGCTGGATAAAGTAGACCCGCTCTGGGAAGGAACTGGGGGGAGGGGCAAGTGAAAAACTATCAATGTAGCATGTTTTCATGTAATAAATTTAAACTATTTTTATGTATTGTATTAGTATCATTTGTTTTGTATATGAAATGGATACGAGTCGCATCATCAGCTATGTAACTGCAATCAACCTTATTCCTGAAAAGGGTGCAACAGTCAGGAACTGTCAGTCATACCGCATAATTTCCATCCTTCCCCCACGGGGACCCTTGCCCCACTTCCCTGTTCTCCAGTGTGCTTACCGCCTGCTAAGATAACGCAGTTTTCCTATTCATAGGGTCACGGTTTCTTGTTCGCCCTCCCCGCCGGGAGGCAAGCCTTGGAGGGCAGGGATCTTGTTCCTCGTCGGAGCCCCGAGGCTAGGACGGGGCCTGGCTGGACAGGTGCACGGTGGACACTCGCCGGAGCGGGCAGGCGCACACGCTGCGCCGGTGAACACCTGTCCCGTTCCACTACCTGTCCCAGTCCACTGCCGGACCCGAGCCGCTCAGACTCTCCTGCCCTCCCTGCAGGGCTGGGGTGGCAGCAGGAGCCCCTCGGACGCCCGCTGAGCGCACTTTATTTTCAAAACAAGTCACTTTCTAATGACCTTTCAAAAGTGAGACAGCCCGGAATGTTCTGGAAACCCACAAAGCCTTCCCGAGACCCATCCCCAGCTCACTCCGCGAGCGGCCTGAGAACAGACGGACAGCAGCAGGGTTCTGTCCCCTCCTCCGAAATCCAGAGGCCAGAGTCGGGCTTTCCGGCCGCGCTCGGCACAGGTGGATTAACGCAGCTGTGGGACCGCCCAGAGTTCCCACCGCCGGCAGCGTGGCCACCGACAAGGCCCCTGGTTAACGGGGCAGGAAGCTCCTTTCTCACCTAAATGTAGACTCAACCTGTGGCTCACGCACGGAGCGTGGGAAAGGGCTGCGCAACTCGGGAGGGACTCCCACGCGCGGCGGCCGCCGCTGGCGGTGCGCATTCCCCCTGATCACTGTGCTCAAGACCAGACACCGGGAACGTCCTCCGTGTTCCGTGCCGTTCGCCCAGGGGGTGCCCAGCCCCCAGAACCTGCCTGGTCAAAATACAAATAAAAGTTCCCTTTGAGGCCGGTGTACATTGCACGAGCCGAAAGGCTCTGCAATCAGACGGGGACTGAGACTGTGGGCGGTTTCCAAGTTCTTGGGAAGCTTTTAGGTATTTTACAACTTTTCTACACGAACGTCTGTCATCGAACAGTAATGGGAAAATGCTGCCGTTCCTCGTGGTGACGGAGTTTCTGTGCTGGTGTTCGGCAAACGGAGAGGACCCCCGGCAAGGAGTCCCCGCCACACGGTCGCCTAGCCTCCTGCCTGGGGACGCGGTGCGCGCCCTGGGCTCCGACCGGGTCCCTGGAGTCCCCTTAGGGTCGCCTCACTGGGGCACCTGAGCGCGGGCGAGGAGCCCGGGGGCAAGAGCCCTGGACTTACCGGGTCTGGGGCGCCCAGGGAGCCGGGTGTGCAGCGGAGTCCGTGCGGGCCGAGCGCTGGGCACCGACAGCCGAGCCCCAGCGGCGCCCTCCGCGGCCAAGTGCGCGGCCGGCGGGCGGGGCCTCCCCAGCCAGCGGCCGCCCCGCCCCGCCCCTGTCGTCCCGGGCGACCCCCACCCCGTACTTGCGCCCTGGCCGAGCGCTTTGGATCACGGGCGGGTAGGCGCAGGGCCAGCAGAAAGCCCGCATCACAAATGCCAGACAGACAGACAGGCAGACAGACCCACCTTCGTGCAGGTGTTTGGAGTTGGCGGGCAAGAAGCAGCTGTTGCTGAGAAAGGCCGCAGGGGAAGCCCCGCCCCCGGTCAGGCGCTCGGACTGACACCCCCACCCCGCCCGCAGCTCCTCAGCGTAGCTTCAGGGGTGCTCCGAACCCCAGCGACTCCTCTTAGCGGCGCCGCCCCCCGGCTGTGGTCACGCACCTGCTGGCATTCACTGAGCACCTTCCGAGGGAGTGTCAGCCCTGAGCTGGGCTGCAGCTGCGGGCACCAGGCCTTGGCCCCTGGGCTCCTAAGTGCTTGGCGACCCCAGGCAGACTCCACAGCAGATGCCCCCGCTGTGGAAGCCAGAGTGAAGTCACTGGGACTCGGGTCCGGACTACGGCCTGCGGGTGGGTAGCGGAGGAGGCTCCTGGCCTGGAGCTGGAAGGCATGGTAGGCGCCCCACGATCTTCTCGGGCCCATCACTGCTCGGGCGGCCCACCCGGTGCGGCGTTCTCGGACCCAGCCCGGCTGGCAGCCTCTGTATACTGCGTGCTACGGCACCCACGCGGCCACTTCGGGAAGTCTGAAAATGTCCAGCCATTCTCCAGAGGATCTGAACCGTGGGAGAGCTTTACGCATAGAGAAAGCTCTTCGTAGTTCTACGTACACAACTCGAATCTCATGTCTCCAAGTACAAAAACGGTTCAATTATGGTTCCCTGACACAGCGCTAGTCTACACAGTGAATGTTACACGCACTCACTAAGATAACGTGCGGGAAATGACTTGTGACAACGTGAGGGCTCCCCATATTACAATGGTAAGGGCAGATGCAGGGCCCTGTAGTGCGTGGACAGGATGCTATGTGTTATTTCAAAAGACAGTAGGGAAGCCCTGGCCGGTTTGGCTCAGCGGTAGAGCGTCAGCCTGCGGTTCAGAGAGACCCAGGTTCGGTTCCCGCTAAGGGCACGTACCTCGGTTGCAGTTTGTCCCCGGCCCTGGTTGGGTCCTGTGGGTGGCAACCACTCGATGTGTCCCTTTCACGTCGATGTTTTTCTCTCTCTCTCCCTCCCCACTCTATCTGAACAAAAAAATGGAAAAATGTCCTCGGATAAAAATTTTAAAAAAGACAGTAGGGAAACACACCACAGGGTTAGTACGGTCTGTGAGTTGTGGGCTTACATGACACTTATTTTCTTACTTATACTATTCTGGCTTTTTTGTTGTTGTTGTTTTGCAATATTCTTTATGCTTTAATATTTAGGAAAAACATACACAAAGCTCACAGGAAAATTCCCTCGATCTCCCTTCTCAAAGCCATGCTATGTATCATCTTTTGCCCATCTTTCCAAACATCTCCGCTGGGAGGGGAAAACGCATTAAAGCGAAATGTTTGTCTCATCAAAATATGCATAGCCCTCTAGTAACAACTCTGAGGCCAGGTAAGCATGCCTGGGTGCCCAGACCGACAGTCCTGCCCACCTGTCACCCAGGTATGGTGGAGACCGCGTGTGCGGACTTGTTTTCAAGAGGCCAAGGGTTAGGTGAGTGGTGGTGTTCTGTTTCTCTTCCTGGTTCTCTCCATCCCGCAGTGCTGAGTTATTTTATGATTCTTAATTGGGATGATGAGACACGAATACAGATGAGAGAGTGTGTTCTGTTCCCCTCGGTGAACTTGAAATGGTTTCTTCTTTCTCTTCTTCTTCCTTCTCCTTCCCTCTCTCCCAACCCCCTCTTCCCATTCCAAGTGTGATTGATCTTCAAGAATTAGAACAACAACCACAGCCCCGGGGTCGTCTCTCTCTGCCTCCTCTACCTTCTCCATTCTTCTTAGTCCCTTGGCTGGGACTGTCCCTTGGGAGAGGCGTGGCAAACACATCCCCCTGCTCCTTCCGGGGGGTTTATCTTCATCTCCCCGGAGCTCCCACCTCAGTGTAGGTGACAGCCAACACCAGAGCTCCACTCTGCTCATTTTTCTGAGGACACTCTCGACTCTCAAGCCATAACTGGGAAGTCCTGCTTATGAGTGAGCCTAACACCGCTCACACGCTACGGGAGCAGGAAAGTCTGTCCCAGAGAGGACGGGGCCTCGGTGTCACCCACCCGGAATGCTCTGAGAGCTCTCATACTAAACATCTCTAGTTCTTTTACAAAACTCAAGGGTTCTAGAGACTTGATTCACCTTTGGTACAGCAAATGGTAGGAGCTGAGGGTGTCGGCCTCTTCCCACAGAAATGCAGACTGCAATTGAGCCAGGCCTCCCCACCCCCACTCAGCAAGGACACGGAGCCGGCCCCCACCCCCACTCAGCAAGGACACGGAGTGGGCCCCCACCCCCACTCAGCAAGGACACGGAGTGGGCCCCCACCCCCACTCTCGGCAAGGACACGGAGTGGGCCCCCACCCCCACTCAGCAAGGACACAGAGTGGCCTCCCACTCCACACTCCCCCGTCAAGGACACGGAGTGGGCCCCCACCCCCACGCAGCAAGGACACGGAGTGGGCTTACTTCCTGAGTGTCCTGCCTGCTTCCACAGGGACTGAGGTTGTCACCCCTGCTCTAGGCCCTGCCCTCCCAGGTCCCACCTTCCCAAAGCCCTGTTGGTCGTCAGTCGAGCTGTTCCTGTGTCTGCACCCCTAGGAGCTCACTCCTCTGGGGTCTCTGTGCTCTTTGTCTGTCTCAGAGGGGTCCTCTGCTGACCCTTTCAGATGGGGGGTTCTCAGGGCCCTTTGGCATCTGAGAAAAGCTAGGGCTCCCCCCTCCCCCACCAGTGCCCGCATTTCACCTGCAGCTGGAGAGGAGGGAGCCCCGGCGTGCTGGGGGACCCCTGGGCGCCACGTGAGACACGGGATTTAAGGCGAGGACTAGCTTTTCCATGGAACACATTCAGCCCATAGCATCAGTTCTGTGGGTCCTACTGTGCCCTGCTCATCCAAAGACCCCGTGCTGCCCCTCTGGTGGACGGCACAGCTGCCCATTGAAACAGCCACTGAAACGGCCTCTGCCCAAGTCTTGGGATGTTTGTGCTGATTCTTGGCACCGTCGAGTCACCCAAGGGACACAACGCGGCTGGCCACGGACCCACCTGCTCGGGCATCACGGCCGTCCTTGCCTTTGACAAATAACCACAACCTTCACCTTGTTATGAAAAGAGCACACATCCAACTGAGAAAGCTGTTCCCAAAGAAATAACAGCCGTGGCCCCCCCGCCCCCGCTCTCTCCGCCCCTTTTTGTCCTGGAATAGGCTGTGCTGATAGGAACTCGGATACATTCATTACAGCCTGGAATGTTGTCCGTGGCTGGGAAAGAACACTGTCTCTACACGCACAGTGCTGGCCGTTCGAATACAGACACTGTCTTTACGTGCGCGCGCGTGTGTGCGCGTGTGTGCGTGTGTGTGTTCAACCCCATAGGTCCAGTTTACCCAGACACACGCACAGCCCTTCGAAGGCCATGGATTTAAAGTCACAGTAACGAGGCTGGGGGCTCAGGCAGCCGCAGAACGGCCCTGGGGGAGTCAGATTAGCATCTCCTCCAAACCCTGACAACGCAGCAGCACTGTGGTGGCCGAGCCCCTGACAGGGAAGGACACTGGCAGCCCGATTGAAAGCCTGTGCAGGCAGTTCCTGGGAATGTGTGTGAAGGTCACTTTCTGGAAACGAGACTGTAGGTAGCCACTGTCGTGGTCACTGCATTTTGGCCAGGACCTTGGGCCTGGGGAGCGTGGACCAGGCAGGCCTCCCAAGAGGAATGAATGACACAGTGGAGAAATCAGAGGTGGGGTCCGGCATGACTCAAAGGAGGAAGAGAGAAACATACACAAAGGAAGTTTCTGAAAAGCAAATTCCAGAATACCTCAAGTGCAAACTTAGTAAACCGTGAAAAGGTTCTGATGACAACCCGGATCTTCAGGCTGAGTCCTTATTCTACTTACTGTCCCGATCTGAACGTAGACCTCTTTCCTTGGAATGTTTCTCATTAAGTAAATCTCTTCTCCGAGGATCAGTCAGTTCCAGTTGACGTTTTCTGAGTCCCTAGATGGGCAGGGTGGAGGGCAGCCGGTCAGCTGCATGTCCAACGTGCCCACTTTGCAGAGGAGAGCTGAAATGCCCAGCCCCTGCTCTCGACAGCCAACACCCCCAGCTGTGCCCCACCAACGTGCACAGAGACTTCCTGGGAGAAGTGACCTCTCCCCGCTGGGGACAGCTGTCCAGGCTCCAACAGCGCCAGACCTGGCCGGCCCCCGCCCCGTGCTCCCAGTACCCTACCTTCTGCTTTCATTTCTGAACCCCCCCACCGCCCAGGGCAAGCACCCATTGCAGTTTCAGGATCTGTCAAGAGTTTCCAGGCTGCCCTGGCCACTTTGGCTCAGGAGCGTCGGCCTGCGGACCAGAGAGTCACGGGTTTGATTCCAGCCAAGGGCATGTACCTCGGTTGCAGTTTGGTCCCCAGCCCTGGTCGGGGCCGTGTGGGAGGCAACCAGTTGATGTGTCTCTCTCACATCGATGTTTCTCTCTCTTTCTCTCTCTCCCTCCTTCCCACTCTATCTAGAGATAAATGAAAAAATATCCTCGGGTGAGGGTTTAAACAAAAAAAAGAGTTTCCAGGCCGAAATGCCGGCTACTCCAACCCTTAGCCCGCCCTTGAGCAGTCCATTCTCTACGCTTCCTTTCCTACCTCGCAGGTCATGACCAACGACCACCTTGGTTCTCCTCGTGAATGACAGGCTCTGCCCACGGACCTGTCTGTTCTGTCTCGTGACCAGCGAGG